ACATGATCTTCTTTTCCATCAATTTCAAATCCTTCGGGTTGATGCATGTATATTTGTTCCTCAAGTTCGCCATGTAAGAAAGCTGTCTTAACATCAAGTTGTTCTAATTCCAAATCATACATGGCAACGAAGGCAAGCAAGACACGAATAGAGCTATGTTTAACAACAGGTGAGAAAATATCATTAAAATCAACTCCTTGTACCTGACTATAGCCCTTTGCAACTAATCGTGCCTTATACCTCGCATCTTCAACCCCTGGAATGCCATCCTTTTTCTTGAAGACCCATTTGCAACCAACAATTCTTTTTCCTGATGGCGGCTTCACAAGAGACCAAGTACCATTCTTGTGGAGAGACTCAATTTCTTCATTCATTGCAATCAGCCACTTGGCTGAGTCAGCACCAGAAACTGCTTCTGAATATTTTTATGGTTCTCCAATTTCTTTAGTTTTCTGTACAACTGAAAAAGCAAATGCATCATAATTTCCAAACTTTAATGGTTGTTTACCTTCTCTTCTTGGTCTATGTTTGGCTATAGAATACTCCTCTTCTTTTGGTTCAACTTCAGGAGTCTCAACTTCAGGAATTTCAGCTTTTGTCTCAACTTCAGGAGTTTCAATTGTATTTTACTCCAAAGTTGATGAGCTTGGCTCAGAAGGAATGCCAACCTCAATCTTCACCTGGTTCTGTGTACACTTTNGTTGATGAGCTTGGCTCAGAAGGAATGCCAATCTCAATCTCCACCTGGTTCTGTGTACTCTTTCCTTTATCTGTATTACAAGAACTAGAAGACTCTTTTCTAGAATGTAACATAGAGGATTCATCAAAGGTTACATCTCTGCTAATTATAAATTTTGGTGCCATGGGATCAGGATACCATAGTCGGTATCCTTTCACCCCAGATGCATACCCAAGGAAAATGCACTTTTTAGCCCTTGGCTCTAATTTTCCATCATTTACATGCATGTATGCAGGGCAACCAAATATCTTTAAATCAGAATAATTAGCAGGAGTACCTGACCACATTTCCTCTGGAGTCTTAAAGTTCAAAGGTGCAGAAGGAGCTCGGTTGACAATATAGCAAGCTGTAGAGATAGCTTCTGCCCAAAAGACATTTGTCAACCCAGCATTTGAAATCATGCAACGAGCCCTTTCCAAAAGAGTTCTATTCATCCTTTTTGCCACACTATTTTGCTGAGGTGTCATTCTCATAATACGATGTTGAGCAATTCCTTCATTCTTTAAAAATTCGTTGAATTCATTATTACAAAATTCTAAGCCATTATCTGTTCTAAGCCGCTTAACCTGTTTTCCTGTTTGTTTCTCAATCAAAAAATTTCATTGTTTGAAATTTAAGAAAACATCACTTTTATTTTTCAGGAAATAAACCTAAACTTTCCTTGAATAATTATCAATGAAAGTTAACATATACCTGGCACCACCTTTTGATGGGGAACGTGAAGAACCCCAAAGATTTGAATGAATGTAATCCAAAGTACCTTTTGTTCTATGAATTGCTTGAGATTTGAAGCTAACTCTTTTCTGTTTTCCGAACACACAATGTTCACATAACTCCATATTTTCGGTACTTTGGCCACATAAGAGACCTCTTTTGCTGAGGATGGAAAGACCGTTTTCGCTCATATGCCCCAATCGCATATGCCACAATTTGGTGATGTCAGAATCTGATTTATCTGATATTAAAACTGTTGCAGCACCTGTAATAGTAGATCCCAAAAGAGTATACAACGTACCAGATCTGCGTGCTTTCATGATCACAAGAGCACCATGAGAAATTTTCAGAACTCCACCTTCACCTGTGTACTTGCACCCAAGAGATTCTAGAGTGCCCAAAGAGATGAGATTTTTCTTCAAGTCAGGAACATGTCTAACATCGGTGAGAGTTCTCACCACACCATCGTGCATTTTGATTCGGACTGTACCTTTTCCAATAACTTTGCAGGCAACATTGTTGCCCATCAAGACAACTCCACCTCCAATAGATTCATATGTGGTAAATAAATCCCGACTGAGACACATATGATAAGAACAACCCGAATCTAAAATCCACTCATTGTTAGATTTGAAACTATTATTAGTTGCTAAAAAAATAGTTCCCTCAGTCTCATCAGCAGCTACACTTGCTTCGGCAGTGTCAGTATTTTTGTGCTCATTTTTCTTTTCTGTATGCTTTTCTTTGTTTTTCAATTTAAAGCATTCAGAAATAATGTGACCTTTCTTATGACAATATTTGCACATGACATTTCTGTATCTGGATTTTGACCTTGATTTAGGTTTCTCACTACTTGAATCTTTCTTATTGGATCTACCTCTTATGAATAAGCTTTCCCCTTGGTTCCCACTAGTTTTCCCAGTAATATCTCTATCTATTTGGTCTTTTGATATCAAAATTGATTTGATATCTTTATAAGAGATATGATCCTTTTCATAAAGCATAGTATCTCTTATATGTTTAAACGACTGGGGTAAGGAAACAAGCAATAATACAGCTTGATCCTCATCTTTGATTTCAACATCTATATTACTTAAATCCAAAAGAACATAATCAAAAGTATCAAGATGAGTAAGTATAGAGGTACCTTCAGCCATACGAAAAGTGTAGAGTTTTTGCTTTAGGTAAAGTCTGTTTTCTACTGTTTTTTTCATATATAAGGTTTTAAGCTTTTTTCATATGCCTTTGACTGTGCTTTCTGTTGCAATTTCACGCAAAACCTCATTTGAAAGATTTAAAATAATACATACTTTTGCCTTTTTGTCTATGACGGCAAACTCCTCGTCCGTCATTTTATCCGGCATCTTCTTCTTTCCTTGCAGTGCCAAATCTAAGCCATCCTGAATTAGGATAGCTTCCATCTTTAATTGCCACATTCCGAAGTTTGCACTTCGGTCAAATTTCTCAACGACTTTGTTAAAGTCATTTTGGCTATTTAAACTAACCCGGTTAGATATGGCTCTAATACCAATTTGTTAGGATCGAAAACCCGGGTAGTGCGGAATTTAGCCAAACAACAGTATAATGACAATAACAAAGACAATGGAAGTTGATAATAACGGCAATTAAAGAATATAAAGAAGACACAAATTTAACATGGTTCGGTCAAGGTGACCTACGTCCACACGCGGAGAGGACCAATTTCAGTATACCAACAAGAGTACAAAATTAGAGTAAATACTCTAATTAATCCCAAATACCCCAAGAGAATAACCTCACAAGATCACTCCAAAGAAAGGGTTCACACAAGTGTTTCCCAACACTCACTCTCTTACAAAATACTCTATAATGAAATAAAGGAAAAGAAAGAAAGACAAGAGTGAGAAGCTCTTGAATTGGTATGTTTTCAAATGAGGAGAAACTCCTCTATTTATAGCAAGTAATCCTTGGCCTAATAATGGATATTATGTCATGGCAAATGTCATGATCCATAAATTTGTTATAATGGATATTATGTCATGGCAAATGTCATGAACTACAAATTTGTTATAATAGATATTATATCATGGCAAATGTCATAAAAATTTGGCCATATTACACATATAAATCATAAACCATATGTATGAAGGTGTGACTTGTCACTTGCTGCACAACTCTTGCCTAAAACTAAGGGCCAGACAAATTCTATTACTTACACCCTAGCAAAGTAAAAACTGCGCAGAAAAGTATAACAATGGAGGAAATTATAAGAATCATATAATGCATCGGACAGAGAACTGTGAAGTTGAATACATTGTTCTTAACATCGGCAGATGTTTCTTGTATATTTGGGCTATAAAAGACAAACACTGGGCGCAGGCTATGATCAAGAAAACAGTGGTATTATCTTTCCTCCTCAACTTCAAATTTGCATGCATTTATAACTTCAACGGGAAGTACTTAAAACTTACAACATTTACCAACATTGGACGCGAAGCCCCAACTAAGCACAATTCTATGCAACTCATCTCAGGCAAGAGCAAGTCGATTCATTCCAAGTGACGGATTCACACATGAGGACACTGACACAAGCAAAAAACATGCAGTGTTGTAAATTGAAGCGACATAACACAAATGGACGCAACATTATATACACAATGCATGGTGTCCCCGTTTTTAACACTGCAAACAATAGATCCACTTTATTTTTATTCTTGGACTTCTGGATGTTCTTTATGAACTTGAATTAAAAGTCCTCCTTGAATTATGAGTTGAGAATAAAATCTAAGAAATTGAGAATACAATGTCCTATATGCCAACTTGAGGGATGTTCTACAAGTCTGACGTCTACAGGGTTAATAAGATGAGGTAGCAGCAAAAAATGATTCTCTGTTCCCTTAAGAGACATTTATGTCTCATTCGAGACAGTGAATTCGATTCTAAGGACAAAAACAAAGAAAAGAAACTGAAAACGAGACAACATTAAACCACCAGAACCCCAGTTGGTATTCAACAAAAAAAAAAAGGACAAAAAAAAAAAAAAAAAAAAAGATCCCAAGACAATATTCATACCTAAAATCTACACCTAGTTTTGCATTGAAGGATAGTTTGTTACAAACTATTGGTCAATCACCTACCAGTTGATAGTATCTCCCCCTCCTTCTGCTTCTCTTTTACAATCAACAATTTCTATCATGCATCAACATGATTAATGTATATACAAAGCATGAAAAGGAAAAAAGGAATAAAAGAATAAATCCCTCTGTATAACAAAAAGGTCCAAAGTTATCGAAAAGCCAGAACACACAAGGATGTAAGCTTCCGTGAATATTACACAACTTCCAAATCGTTGACCATATTATTATTAATGAATCGGCAAAAAACTTATGACTGCACCAACTACAAGAAAAGACCAAATGGAAGTTTTCTTGCCTACAGAAAATTCTAATGTCAGATGATCTCTTCAAACTAAATGACACCATCTTCGTTATGAAAATTACCTGGATAACAGTCTTCATTCGACAAATGCTTCAATCTTTTTCCAATCTCGGTCAAAGCTGCAAGAAAATCAACAAAATGCATCCTCCACTATTTAAAAATATGGCAACACAAATATCTATAACTTGAGATTGAGTCTTACAGCTACTAATTTATAGATCCAAATACAACCCTAAACAATCAAACACCATTCAAGTAACATCCTAACCAAATCAAACAAAATGTTCCAAACATCACAACTACAACAACTAATTTTCATCATCAGAGTTAGACTGTGGATCAGATTGACAATAGTCCATGAAGTTATGCGCTAGCTTCTCCAGTCCTTAAAGTTTTAAATGGTCTGCTTTGTGCTTTCCCAACATAATGCATCTATATATTCCTGATTGCGCGAACTAGAAGAAGCACCAGACTATTTTGACACCGAACGGCCTAAGCAATGGTGTGATCCAAGGTTGTAGGCTCTACTTTTCTCTATGCCATCAACCATATCCCTCAATATTGAAGCTACATCATCCGGTGACGGTTGGATTGAGCTACCATCCTCGGAAGCCGATTCACTTTCACACCATTCAGCCAAGCCTTTTTTATACCAATCGTGAAATGAAAATTATTAGCATTATATAAACGAACTCATGTTAAAGAAAACGAAATAGTCCTAAAATTAGGATCTTACGTATGTCCCCTCAGCATGCGGCTTGCCCCGAATTCTTGTACCATCTTTTTTCTTTTTCGCAGGTGGCTCCTCAAAGACCTCACCATAAGTTATAGTTCTTCCTTTTAACTTTTCCTGCAAAAGAAACAAATATGAGTGGATAAAAGGCAATTGTGTTTAGCAAAAATCAAGGAAAATTTAATAAACAAGTTACCAATCTCCTTCGATTGGTCCCTATACCAACTGAGCCACCCTTGTCGGAGGCTCGGACTGCCTTTGCTTGGGTGCTCTTCTTCTGAAATTTCGCACTGTCCCACTTCTCATTAAGTCTAGCACATACATCTTCGAACATCCAGCTGGGCTTCTGAACCTTTCTCTGAGCAGTCCACAAGGTATCTTTAAGCAGATCAGCAGCTTTCTTCTTGAAATTACTACTTATTTGATGATCATGTTGGGTATGCCATGCACACCTGCACTGCAAATAATTTATAACATTAGATGAAAAAAATTAATTTTATAAATAGTATAAAAATTAATTTATTCGTACCCTAAAGCAATTCCACATCTGGTCTCTGACAATGTACGGTATCTCTCTCCAGGTATTCCAAACGTCACGATAAGATGCTATAATAGAATCCCTAACAGCTATCATAGATAGAGTGGAGGGAAAAAATCTGCAATCAAATTCAACATATGTAAAAATATATTCAATAATTAACAACTAACAAAAGGATTGCTTACCTAGTAGTCCCATCGGGAGCGATAATCAACCTTTGAAAATGATCCAACCCTCCAACCTCTCCACGATTGGGAAACCTTTCTTAGTTGTGTAATAATCATTAGGTAAGTCAATTTTATATCTGATTAAGTTCATTCATGAGCCCAACGAAAGAGTCCATGGCCGCTCGCGGAATATTCCAATGCGATTTAATACTTAGTAATCTATGTGCAAGAGAATACTTACAATGCATTGAGCCTTCAGAGTGGCTGACTAGCTTCCTCTAAATGTAAAGAAGCGATTAGCCTCATAATTAGGAGAATGTTGAACATTTGGTTGGGACTGAACCCCTGCGTACATCCCAAAATCACCCTTAACCATTTTATTGAATCGAGAATTTTCAAAATTCTTCTCCACTAATCGACTACTCTCACCACTAGAAAGTTTTTGAAAATCGACATCAATTTCTCCATGAATAGTCCACACATAATAATTTTTCATAAACCCTTTCCTATAAAGATGTCTTTTAACATCCTCTATTTTCAACAGCTTTCTACATTTGTATTTCATACAAGGGCACCTAATCATCCATTCAGTGAGAAATTCATAAAGTGTTTTCGCCTTAGCAATAAATCATGCAACTCCTTCTATAAATTCCTCCCTCAATTTCTACCGATTAGGATAATTTCTATCATACATCCATCTGCGATGTTCAAGTTCCATCTACACAAAGAGCAAAAATACAAATTGAGATACTTAAAAATAATTTATTTTTTCAAATTAATTTACACTCTTCTGCCTAACATTCAAAGGTTCAAAATAATTACTAAATAAAATTAACAAGGTCCAAATATTTATTGGGGAAAACAAACTACTTTTGCAACACAAGATTATAAAAAACGTTCAATCTATGCAATTTATGAACACTATGGTTGATAACCCTAAACCCTACACTAATTCAAGTTCGCATAAGGATTCAAGTTATCTGTAAACCACAATAGTCATTCCATATCAGTGCTTCAAATTGCACATATTGTTGTGG